TTTTCTTAGCTTTTCTTAGCTTTGCCTGTTTTTTGACATGTTCCATGGTCTTCCTGTACTTTTCCTGCCATGCTGAAGACGCCCGCTTAGAAGCGGCATGGGATGTGTTTTTATGAGCTTGTATGACAAGATGGAGCTCACGGCAGGTTTGAAATTGCTTGTGCTCTGGAGGGAGCTGAGGTGCTATGCATGACATGCCCAAGTGCATAGAATCCTGTAGTCACTGTAGTCTCGCATAGAAAGATGCACGAGCTGCAAGGCTGTGTCTTTGGTACCAGCTGATCCGCAGTGGAGATGCTCGTGCCAGTCTCAGATGGGCTCCTGTTGTCTGCGCTTCTGGTTCAAGCGGTGTCCAAAAAGGGAGAGGCGTCGCATGATGCATAAAGGCACATCAAGTCTGCAGGTAAGAAGAAATCGAAGTAAGCCTGCAATACATGTGGGTCGTTCTAGCAGGGTGCAAACCTACGAGTACCATGGCCATTTTAAACAAGCGGATCCAAGGGTAGCCCGTCTGGGATTATCTGGGCTTCCAATGCATTGTCGGACCCCCATACAATAAGGTCCTTGGTCGCGGCCACCCTGCCCAAGCCTGCTTGTCTGGGGACAATCCGGCCTGCCCCCTGCCCTAAGCCCATCTGGGATAATCCGGGCCAATGCATGATAGGACCCCCCTAATACCCTAAATTCGGGTCCGGTAGCTACAACTGTTTTCCTGATAAGGTCCATGCACATCCTTTGACTGAACATGCTCTCAACCAGGTTGCAGAATTCCACAGCCCCCCACACTGGCAATGCATTAAAACTCCTAGGGAAGCTTATCGGAGACTCTCCTCCGCGACATAGCCGCTACCAGGAGGTATGATTTTACACAGCACAGTTTTTTTGGCGGGTCCGGTCATGATGCGTGAGCTTTCAGATTTTGTCCCGGCGTGTCCGCTAAGTGACCACAAGCCTGAACCGGACAGCTGCGCGCTTGTGTAGAAGCTGGTGTTTACCTTGGTTCTTCACTTCTAAAAATTCCGTGCTGTGCCTTTCAAAGAGGCTACTCTTCAAAAGAAAAAACTGGTTATCAAAAACCGCAGAAACCTGACTTTTTCCCTCCAAGGTTGCGCGGGGATTCTTCGTCAGTTTTCTGTGAATTCCGGATGCCATCTTTGATTTCCTCGTCGTGCCTTTCAAAGCGGGTACTCTTTGCATGCTCAAGGGGCAGACCCGAAAAGTGAGAACATTTCGGGTTTTGTTGGGTGTTTGTCAGGTTTCGTCGGGTTCTTGTCAGGTTTTGGTGCAGTTCTTTGTTTGTCGTCAAACTCGTGAGTGCGATTTTCGCGAAGAGAAATGGCCTTCACTGATGGCGATGATGTGTGTGTTTAGCCAACGCTTTCGTTAGGTTGTGTTGGGGTTTTGCTAGGTTTGGTTGGGTTTTTGTCACGCTTTGTTGGGGTTTTGTCAGGTTTTGGTAGGTTCTTGGTTGTCAACCACAACACTTGAAGCAACACCAAACGAAGAACACAGCGACGCAAATCCCTGATCACTGTCCTACGCAAGGGGCAGGTGCCTGTCCCTGTGTCAGGTTTGCGATGGATCTCTGCTTCGGCTTTCGCGGGTTGCACCGGTGCCGGCGTGGGACTGGCCATCAGGCCCGACATACCAGCCGAGATCAAAGTCGCGATGGCGGCTGTGCTTGAAGGCGTGGACGCTTTCTGCCGTGGTGGTTAACCTTCTGGCTGGCCATCCCAGAGATTGCAGAGGCGTGCTGTGCCGGTCATTTGCTTGACTTGATCTCCACCAGCTGTGAGAGCGCCATGTCAAGGCAGAGTGTGGATGGTGGTTGAAGGGCAGCAACTGGCAGATGTATTTTGTGAGAGGCTGAGAATGAGTGTGGTCGATTCATCGGGTCTATTCGGGTCTGTAATGATGCGAAGCCGAGGATTCGCTGCTTTCCATAGTTCTGGAAGCGCGGAGCAGGCTGAGACTTCGAAGCTACGCTGCTGTGCTCCCTTCAAGCGAAGTCGGAGCGCAAAGATCTTGGCTTGCAGGAGCACTGAGATGTGGGACTCCGTGGTGGAGGTCCTTCTTGCTTTGCCCCAGGCGGCGCGCGAATGGAAAGAGAGCGAACGCCTCGGAGTGTTTCTGCTACGCATGAATCTCCACGTTGACTTAACCTCTACACGTTCACTCCTCTCTTGCACCTGCCGAGCCGCCCTGCCAGTCGGGCGTTCAGCTCCTCCCCTGAAGCCGCCCACCCTCGCTGCTCCAATGTGAAACATGGCTCGAAACCTGCGCATAAACTTCCCCAGTGACTGTGCAGTTTCTGGATGCCTGCCTGCGCCTTCCGAGCCCAAGGTTCCCCAGTGACCGTCTTGTTGGGAGGATGCATGGATTGGTGCGGCCTCAACGGCCAAAATCCAACCCAACATCAAAAAACTAGGAGGGCGGGATTTGGGATCGAGCGGGTGGAGAAGGTGAAGGGGGAAGACTCAGAAACAACAAGCGTTGGAAGGCCTAGGAGGATGTGGGAACGAGCTGGGGGAGAAGGGGAGGGAAGAAGATAGGAGGTGGGGAGGGGGGGGGAAGGACCCAAATTTCGAGTTGATGCTGGTTGCAATATTTAATATGCTTGATGCCGAAACAAGAGAACGGGCGGGCTTGATAAGAGAAGCAGGGGTGGGAGCGTGGCCCGGACAGGACAGGACATGCAACGATTTTTTGGTCTTGTTCGATATGAGTGTATATATATACACATGTACATGTATCTTTGTACATTGTATACATATATATATATATATACACATACATATGCACAGACAGAAAGCGTCCAGTTACACCCATGTATAAGTACATGCACATGTTTATGTTTGTGCATGTATATGTGTATGTGCGTGGGTATGCATATGTAAATGCGATGTATGGGTATATGTATATGTATATATGTCTATCTCTATGTATGTGTGTATGTGCATCAATGCAAGTGTATGTAGATGGTATGCACATGAGTACCTCTGTACTCCTACCTAGCTACATACATACTCATTTCTTGATAACGTCTGCTTTTCTTGAGTGGCTTTTGAACCGGGCGCAGCTTGCCACAGGCTAAGTTGTCAAAGCGCGAGCAGGAAGGCGGTGCAGTGAAGTTGACTGGCTTTTCTCGTTGTTCAGGACGTACGACTAGAATTTTGTTGTTCGTTAGGCATCTTCTTGGTCGTGATCTGGCTGGCTACTCCTGTGCGATAAAGTTTTGACTTTTCGACCGGCTGAGGTTTGCAAAATCGAAGTTTGCCATACGAGCAGCCGGAAGAGCTTCGAGGTACTGCGAGAGACCTGCGAAGTGTTGGGTAGCCATGCAAACTTGCAGGCATTTGCAGCCTCGGTTCAACATCTGGTTCACATGAACAACAGCAGGCTGGGGAGATTTCCAGTCGAGCCGGATGGAGCTTGCACAGTTGATGTCCGGTTTCTCACTGTTCCTCTTGTCTCATCGCTCAACTAGCTGTGTTCATCCAAATTGCTCTTGCACATCTCTCTTGGCTCCACGTTACAGCAAAAAGTTGACCGGAGGGAGTGCGAGCAGAGTCAAATGCCGTCATGAGTACAGTAATTTGCTTAAAGGCTTTCTGCCGCTTAACTGATTTAGCGGGTGCTAAGCCTGATGGTTGACGAATGCGAAGTGCTTCTCCAAGGGTGGCGGTGGCAGTGCTTCTAGGTGTGGGTCGAACAGGTGATTGAACTATTGGAGGTGTCCCAAGGCTGAATCTTGTCAACCGGCACCGTGGAGCCCAGCCCTCTGGGATGTTGCAGGTTCTCGAAGATTCGATTGGGATGGCCCGAGATCCTGCGGAGCCCTTGGCTCTCGGCCTCATCGTTCAGGAGCTACTGACACGTTTGCTTAGTTTTCAAGCATTTTTTTCCGTTGCAGGATTGCGACATCGAGCAGCCGGGCGAGCAGCCGGGCACCTCGCGAGTGGACACAGGCAGCTGAGAGTGAAGAGACGAAGCCTCGCTGTTCGCCCCTGCCTTCAGGCTCCTCCGAAGAGGCTGCAGGCTCCGAGTTGCCCCAAGAAGGCCTGCCGGCAGCCGAGGCGGTGTGATGGTAGGATGCGATAGCGTGCGATGACTCGGGCGGTTTTTTGTTGAAGTCTGCTTGTCTGGACGAGGCCGCGTCCCCAGCCACCGTCTTGGATGTGGCGTGCTCTCGCACCGAAGAAGAGGAGCTCCAGCTGTCGGACGGCAAGGAGGTCAGCACAAAAGACCTGGCAACAGCCGAGGCTGTCACTTGCAGTGACTCGGAAAATGAAGCATGGACGTGTGTCGACTGCAAGTGTCCTCTACCGTGGGGGTCCGATTGGCGTCAGGAAGATACAGTTTTTTATTGCAAGCCGTGCTTCAATGACTTTGACAACAGGTGGTGGGATTTTCACACCCGAGACATCGTGGACACCGACCCGGCTCATGATGAGAGATGTCAAGACAAGCTGCCCGACTTGGAAGGGGCGTCTGACACCCCAGATGCGCTCCAATCCAGATCCGTGGCGGGGACGGTGCTCATCCAACTCTTGAAGCCTCTGCTGCAAGGGAATCTCCACGCCGATGCTCGCTTGTCGGGGGTTGACTCACTGGCGGTCCTGACCCTTTGCCGTCAACTCCGCATGGCCATTCCCCACCTGACGATACGGCCGCAAGATGTTTTCCAGTGCAGTACTGTCCAGGATCTGTTGAGCATGGTCGAGAAAGAGACGGACTCAACCGAGATGCAGAAAGAGACGGCACCAGAAGTCGTGGGAGACGTGGGCGTCGGTCGAGCGGTTTGGTTTGCGCCGGGCCAGGTGAAGAGTACTTGCAAATGGCTTTATGGCTGCCGTGGTTTGTTGGACGAGCGCTGCTTTAGGCGTGCTGCTGCGCAGCTTGTTGCTCGGCATGAAGGCTTACGCGCAGAGTTTGAAGATGGGGCAGGAATGGAGATCCTACGCTTCATGCGCGACGTCGTTCCTCTTCACCTCGTGATCTGGCAAGAGGTGGAAAAGCTGAAGCTTGATGGATTTACCAGGCGCATGGTGCGGGGCTGCCGGAGGCTCGTCTCGGCGGCTTTCAGAGGCAGTTGGCCTCGATCTGTAGCTCAACGTGTGACGAAGAGCTTCTTGGAAGACAGGATCTGGGTGGTGCATTGCAAAACCTGGCGAGAAGTAGAGCAAGCATCCCATCGGCTGCGACAAGAGTGGGAGGCGCCTTTTACCCTGGGGCTCTTCTTGCTCAAAGGGGATGCGAAGCAGCCAATCGAGCACGGCAAGTTGCCCGGAGAAGCTGACAACCCAGAGGACCCAGGCTTTCTACGAGACAGCTGTTGACTTTGTAGGTCGCGGGACGAGTGTTTTACCCAGCTAGACCCAGCTATGGCTACTAGTCGAACTTGCAGGACTGGGGTGCTCCAAGCAGCTTTCTTCAGTTCGTGGTCTCCCATGCTTACTCTGCAGTCTTCACGCAAAAAGGTAGTTTCGGTAAGATGATTGAAGAGAGACGTCATGATGGAGTTGCAGCATGCTCGATGTAAGGACGGCTACAGTGGTGTGCCCTTGGTCCAAGATTTTGCATCGCTCTACGCTCAGGAGGAGGCTCGCATGCGAATGTACTTCGTAAGCTGCCAGACTGAGCTGGCAGGAAATTCTGCTGACTAGCCCGAGCTCAACGCTCAGCCTGCATCATCGCACCATTGTCTGGAGCGTTGCAGAGATGAGGTACGCAGCCAGCGACTTCCACGGGCAGGTCAGCTTCACCAGACACAGAGACAAAGACAGACGTGCAAAGCGAAAGAGAGAGAGACAAGACAAGACGAGCGAGTCCAGCCCTTCAGGTCGGAGTGGAATTCTCTTGTCCCCTTGCCTTCTGGTGCTGCCTTTGAGGCACCGCTATCTTCAGTTTCGACTCTGGGATACTCTTGCAAAGCTGTAGCAGGTGTTGGAGTCGAGGCTGTTTGCGGCGATGGACTTCCAGCCACCATGGAGCAATCCGGAGCCCTACCCTGCTCAGACATGATAGATACTGTAGATATCATGTCCTGCAAGGTCAGGGGGAAAGAGGACAGCAACAAAAATGCCAAGACCAGCAGAACGAAGGAAGGAAGCGGACACGTTAGATACGTGAAGACAACATACCTGTACAACAGCCTGGCTCAATCTGCAGCTATCCTCGAGTTGGGGATCGGCTTCTAGCATCGTGGATGGCCAGGCTAATGGGCTATGGCAGCCCAGACAATTGGACAATTCAAGGTGGAGATAATCGGTGCTCTATGAACAAGCCATGCACCTTCCAGGCATGAGGTTTGATTTGGGTGTAACTGACAGAACCGAAGACGTGCCGAGAGGAGAGGGGACCAGACGCGGTGCATGTCGTAGGGCCTCGAGTTTGGACAGCTTCGCGTTGGATCCCGTGCCACTAGTTACGTTCCGTCGTCGAGGTCCAGCATACTGCTGGCGGGTCGTATGGAGAAACATCTCCAGCCATAGGCCCCTCCCCGCTTGATAAGTGGCAGTTTCTTCGCGTTAGGCCTTCGGCTTGCTGCCTTTCTGTTGTTGCTGAATATTTCTGCAGGCCATGCAGGCTTCCTGTTGCAGTTGTCTTCATGTCGTGCATGTAGCCATTCACGGGTGTGGCCTGCATCTTGGGTAATATTACGTGGTGTTGGCGATCTGAGATCGGGCTTTCTCAGGAGGGAGGTTCGCTGTCTGCCGCATTGTTGGTCGCTCTCTGCCTCGGCTGTAGGACAAACTCGCGGCTGAAGGGTGTGGGCACGACATGTGGCCGAAGTTGAGGGTTTGCTTCTCTTGTCAGATTGTGTCTGCTTGGGTGGGCAAACCTCGTATGCGCCTGAATGTGGCATTTGACGAGACTTGTTCCATGGAAGGGACTTTCGATCGCACCTCCATGGCACCATCGCTAGTAAACCCATTGTTTTCTAGATGCCTACACATACTTGGGCATGCGTTTGTCCAACAATCGCTGGTGGGCACATTGGATGGGAGCCATTCAGAGAAACTGTAACACCATGACCATGACGCTGCTTCGTTTGCGTTTGGCCGCCAAGTCAGTCAGCTGTCAGCTCGACGTAGTCTCCCGTCTACAGTTCAATGTGCGGAAGCTGCTGTTCTTTGCTCTTCCTAGGTACCTTCCTTTCTGAATGCCCTTGTCCGGGATGATGAACTTGGGCATATTGGACTTTCGTGTTCGCCTGCTGTCGCGTTTGGTAAGGTCTACGACATGTTGGTGCAGCTGAGTAGGTCCCAGGACCATGGATGGATTTCATCTTGCGTGGCTACCCTTCTTCACATGCCCAGCGCAAGAAGTGGGATTGGGCGGTTCTCTCATGAGTCCTTGTCTCCTCCTGGCTGTGCCTATTCCGACATTGGAAATCAACCTCATGCTCAAGTTGCTCACCGGTTTTGTGCAGGCCAAGGCTTGCGCTGGGCGTGATTCCAACATTGGTCCAGGCTGCGAGTCAGCGTGCTGGCTGTCTGTTGGGTTGCGGATGCTCTTGCATCATTGCCCATTGCCGGCGTTCGTCCCGGCCTCGGCCTGATGCGGGCGGCTGACTGCTTTTGCCGGCCTTACCCGATTGCACAGTCATGCACAGGCATGTCTGGTGTTTCCGTGAGATCCAGGTAACTCGCTCTGCAATCACTGCAATCGTGGTCATGTGGAACGAGGGTCGTTTTCTGAAACGTGTGAGTTTCTTACGAGAGATGAACCGCAGCGCTTAGTTGTGGGTGGTTCATCTTGCGTTGCCTCAATCAGGTGTAGCGGTATAGTCGCTGCCCCCTCGGCTAATGGTATGCAGGCTGTGAAACCAAAGTTCGGGCTGAATCAGCCATGACATGCGTTGGTCCGAAAAGCATCTCCTGTTTGATACGCTTTACCAACGAGTGATCGTACTGAATGCTAGCAAACGAAATCGGCCATGTCAAACCAAGGCGCAGCTGCCCCAGGAAAACCAAAAGAAGCAGCTTGGCCCACCGGAGCCAAGAGTGCCCACCTTTTTTCGAAATACCAACTATAGTTTCCGCATCAGAATTGCAACACAAAACATCTTTGCCAGTGGATGAGTATTTCAGACTACGTCGCAAGACCGGCGAAGATCAATGCGTTCGTCGCTGCTGATAGAACCTAGTCCGATGGAATGCTGGCGACATCAGTGTGTGTTTTGTCCTCGATACTCCGGCTCGGCGCCGTTCCGATCAAGTCCAGCCCACTCCAATCCCATCCGGCAGTGCACATATCATGCACTGGACATCGACAAGCTCAACCGAACATCGCTAAAGTGGCATGGCCTTTTGGGTGTCATGTGACTGGTTCAATGTCCGCGGGCTCTGTCTACGTTCCTGTAGTTGCAGCACAGGTCTCCTGACAAATGGATGTCGTGTTTGCAATTTGGTGTCAACAGGTTGGTACCCACGATCATGAATCATGCTGATGAATGCTGGAACGTGCACACAGGGTTTAGGGCATGAGTTTGCCGACATGTGTGTTTGGCCAGGAGCAGCTTTCGCTACGGGCAGGCATTTTTGACGAATCGCCGAAGCGTCCACCCTGGGTTTACGACCACGAGGCAGCTACTTGTTAACCCTGTCAGATGCTATCGTAGTCATCTATCGTATCTGCAGCTGGGGCTTGCTCCACAATCCCAGAAACCTTGCATTGTGAGCATTTGCAGGTTCTTCTGGAGGGCTCGGCAGTGGAAGCGCTCCAGAGAAATGCAAAATCGTGCTCTTGCTCGGGGTTTGGATGCAGCATTCGCAACAGCATTGGAACATCGAGAAAGAGCTTGGAGTGCCTATCTGCAAATTGCAGGTACGGGCTGCCCTTTGACGTGGTGTTGCTTTCTGTCGTTTTGGCGGCAAGCTTCAAAGCAACATGGAGTCAGGAGAAACTCAGGCAGGCTTGCAACTCGCACGCTCATTGCTGATGCTGTGTAGGTTTTGTGTTCGATGAGTGAACACGAGCCAGCTCACGACAGTCATTGTGTGATACCTGTTGAGCGATGCAAAGTTGTACTGGCGGTGTGAAAACGATGTTGAACTGCGACACTAGTTTGCACGTTCACATGGAAGGCAACTTGCGATAATGTCCAACTTGCTAATTATATGTCTATGAGAGCTTTTCTCGAATCTGCCAAACTAGTAGCTGCAGCTCTGTCGTCGGATGATCTAGGACTTATGCTCAGCCCCTTTCAGACAAGCCAAAGTCAAAACCCACATCGTTTGGAATTGCGCGACAGGGAGGACAGGTCTGCAATGTGGCGCTAGCAGCTAGCAAGAAAACGACCGTTGCCTGTCTTTCCCTCTCTTAGACTCATTCCTGTCGTTGTGTCTCTTCAGAAAAGCTGCAGCACGCTTTGGCCAGGTGTTTCTACAAAGGTGTATCTTCTCAGGACTCAGTGCTGCAGTTTGGGGCAGTTCTGCTTGTCTGCCCTTCGTCAGATCTTCGCAAGACTTCTTTTGCAATCCTCAGGACTTTGAGGCTTCCAAGACTGAGTTGTCCCTTCCACTGACACTCTACGCACCGATGCACTTCCCTCGGCGCCCACTGTACGATAGAATGAGTTGTTGTCGCTTGGAACTTGAGGCGAGATGGAAACTTGAACGACGCCATGGTGGGCCTCTTTAGTGATTGGAGGGTGCATTGCCTCAGACATGCACATGACTCTACGTTCAATGGAGCAATGGAGCAGTTATTTCTTGATGATTCGCACCAGTCGGGGCGCGTTGCGAGGATGTGACAGTTGCCTGCAGCTCGTCAGTTAGCCTGCTACACCCTCGGACCCTTTGTCAATGGAAATGCCCAGGGATCGCATTAGACTCCTTACCCGAGGTTGGGCTTTTGTTTGGATGTTGCGGATCTCATCCGCTTCCGCAGGCAGAGAGAGTTATGGAAGCGCCAAGGCTTCAGAACTTGGGGTAAGAACATGTCAGGTGGGCAATGTTCGACCCGGTTCAGAACTCCAACAACATTTTAGTCAACATCCTCCCGCTAGACGAGCAGGACGACGCGCGCTGCGAGGGGCATCAAAGGGCCGCGAACATGACTCCACAGTGGTTGGACAGGCACGAGGTCGGCAGCACTTCAAGCAGACCCGAGCCCATGAGCGGAGACCTGAGAAAGCATGCTTGTGTCTGTGGTCGGGCATTTTTGTTTCATTGCAGGTATGGTGGCATGCGCCAGGCAGCCGCCGATCGCCGCAGGACCTTCTGTCTTCTCGAGACGCGTGGTCTTGACATCCTTTGAGCAGGGCCTACAAGGCTCCACACCGCCCAATGCGGATAACATTGGAACAAGAGGCCAGGAGATGGCGGTCCATGGGGGGTTCGTTGCTGCGCGTCCTCGCAGGCTCCGGATGCATGGCCTGGCCAGCGTGTTTGTCCTTGCATTATTTTTGCAGTTACCCCCCTGCCTATGCGCGGATGCTCGTGAAACGGAAGATCTAGAGTATGACAATGCTGGCTCCAAGGCGAAGCTTGCAGGAATGATGCGCGAGATAAACCTGCTTTGTGTTAGGCAGGCATTGGGCAGGCTTCATTGCACGACCACTGTGAACATGTGTGTGTGTGTGTGGGGCATCTTGGTTCAAGGCTTTGACCCAAACTTGCTTAGAGTCTTCCTTTGTGGGGCGGTACCCCTCGGTTCAGCATGGATGCTGTGCCTGCGGATGCCGATGAGTATGTCGTGCATACCACCAGGCCGATCTCATCTGCGGAGAACCTGGTGCACTTCATGAACCTCATGCGCCGCTTGGACAGCGAGGGCAGATCAGCCGAGCATTGGGCTTTCTGGTCTGCGGTTTGCGAAATATCCCACTTGCCGGTCCCCGACATCCCGATGACCGAGGTGCAATTTGGGGAAGGCAGGATCCCTCTTCGCAGGTATGTGTGCGACGCTAGCTCCTGCCTCAGAAACTTGCAAGGGGTGGGGGGTTTCCAATTTCCTTGGCTCGGCCCCTGGAGTCGAGTCCGGCCCTTCCAGGGCGCGGGAGCAGGCAACATCTGTCTACAGCATCGGCGACTTGGTTCCACCCCGATGTTAAGAGCTATGCAGGGGAGCTTCGCAGCTTGCACGATCTCGCGGAGCCCGTATTCAGAAATATTTGGCGCTGGCAGCGGGGTGAGGTTCGCTGGAGGGACCCCATCACGGCTACTCAGACCGCCTCCGTGGCATTTATGGTGCCACACCTTAAGGGCCAACTAGTGCTGTCCTTGTGGATGGCCTTTGTGGCCGCCCAAGGGCCGGATAGATCATGCCCGGTGCCTGCCTCTATTGTGGGACGCTTCTGGAAGCGGACGCTCGGCCAGGACCCTGCCACGAGTGCAACGTGGGCATCGCCTTGGCCACGGCTATGGACTCAGAGGTGGCTTGAGACAGCGCTCTATAACTGCATTCGGGGACGCTCGGGGTTTTTCGGGGTAGTCCGATTGAAGTGCCGGCCGTCCCAGGATCATGTGCCGCATTCCGCTTCAGAGTCAGCAGCTTCCGTGTCCGCGTTGGCTCGTGCAGTTAGCCTCGATCCTCGCGGTGTGGGTCTATGCCGTGCAGGCCATGGAGTCCGAGGGCAGCTGGGGTGCGGAGACTTTTCTGCGGGTCATTGCGGCCAAGAGGACTCGGGAGTGGCGGCGGAAGCATATCATCTCCAGAGCGACGCCGCCCTTGCTGCTTTTTATTTCACGAGCTACAAGCAGGCGGTGCGTCAGGCGGGGCACCAGGTCACCAGGTGGCAGATGGTTGGCGAGGTCAGAGGATGTTTGCTTTTTGCAGCAGCAGTGGCAGTGGTGGTGGAGGGACCACGTTTGGCTTCGTCTCGTGCAGCGTTGTGCGGGGCCGTCAGGGCCGGCTGGCGCCAGCTCAGCCAGCGGACGGTGAACTCCTCGAGCTCAGGGATGGCCTCGCCTGGCAGCGCGCCCGATCGCTCGTGGATGGTGGACATGTGGACATCGATTCCAATTGTCAACGAGCGAGTGCGAAATAGACGGCGAAAGGATCCAGATGAATTTCTTTTCCTTGTGGACGGGACGCCGGTGCCCAACCGTGCTCTGGCAAACCACATGTACATGGCCCCCACTCGGCACAGCCGCATGGAGAGGCGACCTGGCCCATGCTCGGGGGGTCGGGGCGATGCCCGCCGGCCGGCGCTGAGCCCAGGCGCATTTCGGAGAGAGCGCTTTTCATGGCCACAGCAAGCCCCGGCCCGGACATGCTACATGGCCACAGGGCTCTCCAATGTGCACGTCGCCACGGGTGTGGTCCCCTTTGCAAGCGCAACCAAGCCGCGGCGCGAGCGCAGCGCCTGCGCACCAAGGACAGGGAGGAGGCTGTTAGCTGGCTTGCGCGTGGCCCCTGCCCGAGGTGAGGCGATGGAGACGCGCGTCCTCCCAATCGGTTATCGGCGCCAAGACGACGCCGCCCACGCTCAATTTTGTGGGCCCCTTCTCACGGCCCAGCAAAAAGTCCTCCCGAGCGGGCGACCTGGTTAATAAGTATCCGGGAGTGTGACCCGAAAGCACGCAGCTGCAGATTGCATGGTTGCAGGTTACCAGGTTGCGTGGCATAATTCATGCAGAACTCGATCTGTTTCCAGTTGAGCTACCCTAGCCACCTGCGTTCTTGGTCACTATAGTTTCTTAATGCCGGTGCGGGGTTGCACCCACATCCTCTCTCTGAGTCTGTTCCTCTCTCCCTGGCTCCCCCTTTTTTCAGCGGCCTATGCCAGGTCCGCAGCAACTCGGCCGCGGTTGTCGCCGTGGCCATGCCCTCGTCAGTTACCTTTGTCCCGAGGGACGGGACGGATGTCGAAGAGACTTTGCGAACTTTGTTCCCCAGCTTAATTCGGGCTCGCAGACGAGGTGGTTAAAGCCATCAAGTGGCAAGGCAGGGCAGGGCATCCAGGAAGTCTTTGTGGCGCGCGACCCTCATTGGATCTCGACGGGACCAGTCGGGTCCAGCATCAAGGTCGGGCGGGCAGGAATCCCTTAGCCAATAGCTGCAGGAAGTGAATTTCGTCTTCGCTGCACTCGATTGCTCTACCCAGTCAAGAGCCAGAGAAATTCCTTTCGTGTTTGACGGATCCAGTGAGACGACGCCTGTGGTCGGGTTTGGGAGAGATGGAGTCACTTCGCCTCCGAGGGGGCGGCGCTGAAAACCAGATGATGGTCACAGGCGCATGGCAGGACACGGTCTACGCTGCGTGCGCATTTGCGGGGGCCCGCAGTGTGGACGAGATCGCCTCCTGGCCCCCCTTTCGTGCCAGCATTTCCACGCCAGCGACGAGTGGTCACCTAAGGTATAGTCAACGGTCGAGCTGTGTATCCCAGCAAAGAAAGGCCGAATACACAGCCCCGCTGGCGTTTTGCGTTGCTGTGTCCGTGTCATCGGTGTCTTTGGTGGGCAGCTCGATTGCCTTCGGTGGAGGTGATCGATTGCCCTCGGTGAAGGTGACGGGACGGCGCGAGCGTTGGCTGGACACTGACCCTCGTGCGCTTCGGTCCTTTTGCCATGGCCTCCCTGGCCATATCGTTGGGCCTCAAACGTCGAGAGTATCCGGGGAGCGCAGGCTCCCAATGCAAGGGGTCGCGGTGGATAGAGTGACAGGAAGAGCCCATGCAATCCCGGACATGTGACCGATGAGGGCCAGCGGAGAGGTTCCAAAACTTTCGATTCCCGATGGTGGAAGACCTCCTCAACAAGGCCGCGTTCGATGTTTTCACCAGATAATTAACGTCTTTGGCAACGTGTCGCAGATGGTCAGATGGGACTTACAAGGCTGCCCCCCTCCATTCGGGCTTTTAGTTGATGAGCATGTCGAGTAGTCTCTCCTTTTGGGAGTCCAGCCCTCCTTGCCGACGGAACAACATCCTCTGCTCGATGCAGACCTGCTGTATGCAGCGGATGCCCACGCCCGTCCTCGGGGTTCTTTGCGTGTCCTTCGGAAGCAGGCTGTCGGTGCTATACGTGAGTTGAAGTGACGCTGGGCCCAGTGGGCACACGGCTGCGCACCATTCAGCCCGCATACTTGCGCAGTGCTACGCAGCAAGGAGACCTGGGCCTCATCGCGCTGCTTCTGATCCTGGGGATCAGTCCACCTCCCTGCGGTGGGTTACCCCCCCCCTTACGGGGTCCTTCTATCGCAGCCAGCCGAGTATATTTCTTTGAGCCAGGTGCTGGGGGATTGGGAATCCCACAATGCTGAAATGATCAGCGGGCTGCTAGAGCAGTCCCTGGAGGACGCCAAGCAAGGTTCTGCGCGGCCCACGTGGTCTGAGTTGCAAGGCGAAACCAAGGGATCCCCTTTCCGTCTGTTGCCAAGATGTGTCATTACGCAGGGCTTGGGAAGCACCGTATCATGTATCATCGACAATGCAGCTGAAGGCGGGGCAGTCGGCTACTTCTTCGGATACTGACAAGCTCGTTCTATGTTCACCGTTCCGACGAGCACCTCCGCAGCTCGAGCCCAGGATTCATGGGAGACGGGGGGCGATAACGGCGGGCGAGGATTGGCCTAACGCCTATCGGCACTCTCCTATGATCCCAGCCGAGGCTGAAGCTTGCGTAGTCAAACGTCCAGACGTACTTCGAGTACATTCCTTCTAAGTCAAATTGGTCAGATGCGATTTCCATAAGTGCCAGCGATCCCTGGAACATGGGACAGTCCTTCTCTACCTTTTCTGTCCGCTTCCCGCGTGTTGTCTGGGGCCTCCCTACGTCGGCCCTGCTGGTCTCGCACAGTGTCTTCAGCGCTCTGGGAGGAATGCCTTGGGTGCTCACGCACGGGAATCCGGCCGCGGCCGAACTAGGAATCGTTCGAGTCAGGGTCGTGTTCTGTCCGTGAACCGACAGATTCCCAAAGCATATCCCCGGTCAGGGTTAGTGCGAGTGCAGGTGTGACGAGCTCGAGCTCGGAGAGAGCGCAAGTGAGAAAAGAACAAAGTCCGTTGACTCAAGTGCGCATTGCAATGTAAAGTAGTACCATAAAGCTCGTGGCAGGTGGGTCAACCTGAACATCAATGCCGATCTTTTTTCGACTTCCTGGTGTCGTTCATTCGTAAAGAACTTGAAGGAGTGTGTGCAGGCCGAGGGTTACAAGATAAGGGTCTTCCATGCGGCTGAGCAACAGGCTTATCTTCATGATGTGTTGTACTTTACTCATAGGGGTGCACCGTTGACCATGCCTGCTGACTGCTCGAAGCCTTTCCGATCACTTGTGGACGGCTGCACGATTGCGGTTATCTTTGTTTATCATACTGCTGGGCTTGTGCTTCCCATGATCCATGCATGGCATCGGCCTGGGCCCAGAGATTAACAGAAAGTTGCATCAATGCCATCTGGCTGAATGGTGTAATCTGCTGTTTTGGCTAAACATAGTGTTTCTGCTCCTTGCGGACAGGATTTGCAGCGCCAACCGCTGCGGCCAGTACTGGTTGCAGGCGCAGTTGTGGCCATGATCTTTGTGCCGACATTTGCAGGAAAAAACATACAAAGGCGGGCGTATCAGCTGTTCGACATCGTTCCTGTGCCCCTGCACGAGGTGCAGGTTGAGGTGAAGTGCTGCCTTGGGTTTCCCGGCAACAAGTCATGCGTCTTGCGTGATGTTTCAAAGAACAAGGGCTGTACATGTTGTGCGCGATTTGTGTATGGGCCAAGGCAGTGCTGAACCAAGCCTTCCTCGTGCGGTACGGAGTCTGGCTTGCGCAGTGGTTCCAAAGTTGTGCCATTGTTCACCTAAGCTGTTTGCGCCATTGCTCTGTTGCAACACCTTCGTCATGGATTCATTGCAAGCTGCTGGTGCAAATCCGCATATTCGGCCAGGCAATGGTTTGCTGAAGCTCGTTGTAGCCTAGATCGAGTGCAACCGTATGCCACCAAAGAGAGTTCTAGGACATCCTGCTCCTAGGCTGAGGTTTAGGTGCAAAAATTGTTCACACTTGGCAATCACTATGATGGTGTGGTGGCGCTATCTTGTGCTGCTTTCCTCGTCTCTGGCTTTCCGCAAGAGTGACTTTACAGATTGGGATTGCCGACGAGTGAATTCAAAGCTTGTCCTGTGGAATACGCTCCGGGAAGTTGCTGTTGCAGAAGCAGATGCCGCGGAGTCTTCTCTATTCACTGTCCCGAACCTGGTGTCCACAGTGAGCGAGCTTCTGGGTAGCAACAACAAGCATTAGTGTGTCCATGTCTTCTTCCATTTTGGCAGAGCTCTGGACATTATTTTCGCACAGAACCCATTTTCAGCTAAGTTTCGAGACATCCCCTGCAGTGTTCGAGACGCTGTTCACTGAATGCCCACTGGGCACGATCTTTCTTCTGGAGATCGCGCTTGGCAGCTGCCTTTTGAATCATGGGCAGTACACCTTCGAGCCTTGCGAATGGGCAGTTTCATGTTTAGAAAGTACAAACGGAACAGCAAACACTTCATCCCGCAACGGCTTCCTGGTTAAGAAGCACGGTGGCTTCAAGATATGCGGAGACCCTCAACCCTATTCAAGAACGCACATCCTTGGACCCGATCCTAGATGCAAGCTCTTCAAACTAAGTCAGAAGCTCAGGCGAAGCGACCGGAGATTTGTTGATGGAGCTCATGCTTCGGCGAAATGTATCTATGGCTATGCTACTCACAGCAACTTGGCCCATCAAACAGGCCCTTGACATGCCGTTTCTGTACGAGTTCGGGGCGGACACAGCCAGCAGCTGGCACACGGTCCAGAACAGCCCGGTTTACATCTGTGACCAGCAGGTTGCGGATAATGGCGAGGGTGGATTCGAGTGGCCGCAGCTCCAAGAGCTCATTTGGATTGCGGTTCGAGACGAAGAGCAGGTTTTGCCAAAGGTTCGCAACTTGATTTTCGGGAAGGACATCACTCAAGTTGCAAAACATTCTCAACCTTACAAGTCGTAATATTTCGGGTTCATTCAAAATAGTAAACTGTTGACGTTTCAGCAGCCCGAAAGAAGTGGTTGTGAGGAGATACAGAAGTTGGTGACCGACCAGTTGCAAGATCCGCACCACTTCCTGCCCGACTGTTTGTCCGGATGGATTGCCACGCTGCTCCTAGTCCTAGACGTGCTAGGAGGCATGTTCCGCTTTGGGATGCAAAGGTTGACTTTATTTGCTGCTTGGTGCGTGTAGCTGCTTCAGATGGTTCTGGTCCTGGTGGATACTTACACAGAAGGCTCGGCTTCAGGTTTGCCAAGCCGCGGCAACGGCCTCTACGTGGATATCATGCCATGCCAGGTAGACTTGGGCACAAGACTCATAATGCTTTTGAAGATGCCATAGCACCTTCGCCTTCCCAAGCAGGCCACAAAAGACAACGAAGGCCTGGCAGCAACTGCTATCCGCTTCGAGACCCCTCCGAATTTGCAAAACATGCCGGTTCATTTCGGCTTATCGTCGAGTGTGTAAATCTGAAGGCAGACTGGTGTCGTTCATGAGCCAGATAGGGGACGAGAACTACGACCGTTTCGCAGCAGCCGCCCTGAATTGAGTTTCACGCAAGAGTCACCACCTCACGATAAGCAAATAAGCATGATACGAGCACTAACCAAAAATTGCAGCGCGGCAAATCTTTGGCGGTTTCTCGAATAAGCTCTATTTCAGCCAATACTCTTGTTGGTGGGTTTTGTGCAGTCAACCGTGAAGGAAGATACTTCTTCGAGCCAAACCCCTCTCAATCCACTGATTTCGTCCACTCCCTCCCCATGTTGCCATGTGACCGTTTCGTAGATTCGATGAAGAAGTATTTCGCATAGATGTGGGTGTCTGTAGGCGGAAAGACAGACGAATCTGTTTCCTCTCAGCTCACCGTTCGGCTGCTTTACGTGCATGTCGTCACAGATTCCTGCGAAAATCGCACCAGAAGCCGCCCTCCGACTGTGCCTGAACTTGCTGTCATGGTTCTTACAGCTGGATTGTTCTCCAGTCTGCCCCGTGTCCCGAATCTGCCAACTTTAGGCGTCCCGCAGAATGATGCTATTTTCCCGCCAGTGCTTGCCGGGGTGTCTGCTTGGCGATTTCGGCCATGTGTAACGCATCATGGACCAAAGCATTGTGCCTCATGCACGCCTGGGCTGTCGTTCGCAGATTGACGTCTCACACTGGGTTGGGCTGACTTTTGTTGGGGTGGGGTGCCTTGGGGCGCTCACTCAGTAGAGCGTTCGTCAGTAGCTGTTCTCGGCTAGTTGGTTTGAGGTCGGATGAATGTGCACTACCCCAGTAAGGCTCATCTTCGCTGGCATCACATGGCACATGGAGTCTTATGTGTACTTCTCCTACGAACAAGTGCTGAAGCGATATCTGGCCACCTTGGAGTTCTGGGAGTTCTTCGGTTCGGGCTGGTTGCTTTCCGCGCTGATGGGATGCTCGGCGGAAGTACAGCAGCGACTGAGTGCTTGAGCATCAGTCAACAGGAATGTAACGGTCAGCTTCCAAAGGGAACTCATACATGCACACAAAGAGCCGAAATCGCAGCCAATTGATGTGAAGAGGCCGTCTTGATCTGCACAAGTGCAAAATCTTGTCTATATAAAATTAGGATTGCGAGCTCTTGCAGCAGAAGCCCTGCAAGTGTGCATGAAATAGCATCAGGGATCATGCAACACCACAAGTCCAGGAATTTGGGTGCGAGCATCGGGTGGAAAAAAACAGCAACCGAAACTGAGGTCAGGTTTGCGTGATGCATCGCACCATTAACGAGATGGACTTCTCGGGTTCTGAGCTCCTCAAAGATCCACACATCGACTCGATTGGCTCTCTGCGCCTCAAGGCGTCGCCGATTTTCTCCGCAACGGCTGCTGCCGTGCTGGGCGAGGGCGCGAGACCTTACAGCGTGAACGGAGAGAGTCGGCTTCTGACGTATGCCGTGTATGTCTGGGGCGAGGATAGCAGCAGAAATTACCTTGATCGTGCTTCCTTTTCGTTGCTTCGGTTTCTAAGTTTGCCATTTGCTAAAGGCCTTCGTGAAGTGGCTTCCGGCGTACATCAAGCGCTTCCACAGTCTCGGAGTCTACAACCTCATGGTTTTCGGTGACACTGCCACGTACCAGGTTTGCTCTGCGATCCAGAGGGCTGTTTGCCTCCAACTGGATACGAAGAACTCTCTCCACCGCTATACGATTCCGTTGGCTCTCATGAACCTGGGTGTGGATGCCTTCATCCTCGATTTCGATATCTATCCCTTTCAGGACCTTGTGGTGATGACTTTGAAGGCTTGGCAAGAGAGTTTTCCATTGAATATTTACGGTATGACTTCTGCCGAGGACTTGCAAGTTGCTTTCCCCAATCCTGAGTCAACTCTTCACACCCATGGAACTCTGCCTCGAGCCTGGCGGGCCTTCTGTCCTTGGCACGTCCGGGGATATGCGCCTTTCGACACATGCTTTTCCGACTGGGGACCTCGAGGGGTTTGACAAGGTTGTTAAGAAACGCTCTCAGTCTGATTATGTCCAGCCGGAGGATCCGACGCCTGTGCTGATTTCTGAAATTGAGAGCTACAGTGTCGCTCCGGAACTTTTGATTGGTGGCTCTTTCGGAGATGCGTGCATCTGCAATGCCAGAGGGTTGGATTGAGGAACATTTTCGTGCTACTTGCAGTCACGGTTTACATCATTCGACAGCCCTTGCGTACACGGCTAATAATGTTCACTGCTGCCACTGCGGTAGCACGCAGCGTAGCTCCAAGGTATTCTTCACAAGAGTTTGGGGCTGCTGAGGCATTGGCCTTCTACCGGAGCACGCCTGCGCTTCGCGACTTCATCCGAGGCTTGTTGGACTGGCTGTATGAGCATCCCTTCCCACATGCTGTTTCGCAGAGGGCGCTGTCTGCGTTTTTGGGGGAAGCCCGGCTGGAAGTCAGCACAGTCCCAAATTCTTCTGCGCATAGTGCGCTGTGATGTTTTCTGCCAGGAGAATTCGCACATCTGTGATTGCTTCAAGCTCATAAGTCAGAACACGGCCAAGGAAGCACCCATGCAGAAAAAGCAAAGCACGAGCCCAGTCGTCGTGAAAGCAGAGAGATTGGCCCCTTGGCTTCCGGACCGTGCTAGCCCTGGAATCGCTTGGGCTGTGCTGGATCCAGGTGCGTGGCGGGTGCTCATGAAACACATGGGCATTGGATTTGTTGACGTTGTAATAGGAGAGAGCGCTGCATGGGTACATGAGTGTAGAAATCCAATGTGGCTATATGCAGGTTTGTGTCTTAGTGCACATTGCGAGCTCGTAGCTGTTGTTGACATGTAGCTGCAATGCAGCTTGGACCAGCAGTGTAAAAAACCCTGCTGCAGAATAGACTGGTCAGGTAGGAAAGTCCTGCTGTGACTCATTGGCGACTGGAGTGTCCCCAGGTGTACAGTTTTCCTCGTCGGCCAACCTCGAGACCTCGGGCTGGGCGGGCAATGCAAAGGACCCAGATTTGCAGGTCCTGCCTCGGTCTCTGTGGCTAAGTGCGGGAACAGTCGCTGCACGGGGGTTTTTGCACAAAACAGCAGCTCCACTTCAAACCCCCCCCCCCTCCGTGTGAAACCTGCCTCAGTGAATCGCGTGCGCAGCTGCTGTGTCGACCTCAGACGATTGTCACGTCACTCGCCGCAACGACCGGACACCATCCAGACAGCACGCGACACCCGCCCAGGGAGGGTAAATAGACAACAGAAGTAAATACTTGCATAAACCGATAAGCACATGAAAATCAGCATGATCAACCATACGAGAAATCAAGAAATACAGGTACACGCAATCAACAACTTTCAATTGCAGATGAATGCATAAGTCAGTCTGCGGGGCTATGAAGAAAAAACATGTTTAAACTTAGCAGACTTGTGGTACTTGGCAACTACAGGAACTACAAATTCAATGATTACAAGCAGTGTAAGTATTTACATGGTTTTGCGAAGAAAATGCATAATTCCACCCGGCCAAAAACGCTACGTAGATTGAATAAGGCACAAAGCTTGACATGTATGTATGTATGTGTGTATGTATGTATGTATGTATGTATGTATGTATGTATGTATGTATGTATGTATGTATGTATACATGCATGTAAATGTATATATATATATAGATATGATTGTGAAGAAATACACAAAGCTGCCAAAGAAAACACTCCTCTCAAGGTATCGTATGACAGTCGGAAAAAGCAACGTGCAGTGATCTTTTCATATTATTCCCTGTTCCATACGACGTTACTGGTTGCCTCCATATATCTATACGCGACAGAGTATGTCGAAACAGTAAACGAAACGATATATTCGTGCCTATCTGCATGTACATACGAACCGTGCCGCAGTGCGTTTCGAGTTTGGCATGTCCACAGATCTTGGGCAGACTTTCGGCATCCAAGAATGACACTTCATGTCTTGGAAAAGTTAACTCTGGACGGTGTTGCAAGTTTGCGAATGTGGTAGTAAAGACCTCGTTTCTTTGCATTATTTTCTGGTTGCATTGAACCATGTCACGAAAGCTCTCATCAGGGAGCTTTTCGCATTAGAGCCAAGACTTTTTCTGCCGGGTCGGTTTACGGGCTACCTGGCGAAATTTCCTGGTCGCTTGCGGCAGCACATTTTTGTGCTCCTTTGGCCGTCCGGAAGTGGTGTTTCAGACCGGCCTGATATGGAAAATCAGGCCCCCGATGATGCTCATGATGCTCGCCTGCAGTCTCCGATTGGAACGCCAGTGATGCTCATGATGCGCTTGGCGTCTTTGTGTGGGCCCCCCCTGGCCCGTTTAGTGGCTCAGACTTGCAACATCGAAAGCAATATCTTCAACGGTAACTCCTCAATGATGTTCATGCGCTCGCTCATAGGTTCCGATTGGGCAGCCAGTGATGCTGACGATGTTCGCTTTGTTGTTTAATGGCTTTGATTGGAACCAACAATGCGCATGATGGTCGCCTAGCTTCTCCGCGTGGGCCGCTCGGACTTACAACATCAAAAGCATGAGCAACAACGGTACCTCCCCCAATGACTCATGCGCTCCCTCATAGGTTCCGATTGGGCACCCAATGATGCTGACGATGTTCGCTTTGTTATTTGGGGCTCTGATTGGAACCAGCAATAGCCTCCTTCCTTCATCTGAATCTGGCACACAGACATCAGATGCTACCTGCAACCAGGGTGCGCCTCTCTCAACGTAGCTCCAAAAAGAAACAGTCGTCGCCGCCGGCCGCCGCGGGTCTCAAGCTCATGCTGCCACCAAGCATCCCCTTCTAAATTTTGCATGTGGGCACTGTTTTGTTCTCCAAGCAAGCAGCACTCTGACATACAAGCGAGATGGTAGTAATGGTGGTACATGCTCAAAACGAGCAACGAAATACCGGAGTTCAGGATTAGCTACAATGATGCGATAGCTTCAGTTTGACGTGGTATTTCATATTGAAACGGCCTGTCTCTAGTTCTGACTGCTAAGAACATTGCTGTTGCTGGTGTGTGTTCACTAGGCTGTGAATATCTACAGTATGTCTGCATCTCACTATGTTTCCATAATCCGGCTTGTAAGGTGCTGACAATGCTAGTGAATAGACTTGGATGTGAACGTATGTGGGTAGTAAGGTTGTGTGCAATGCTAGTCTCATCGATGAAGTGTGTCCTACTTGTGAGGCCTGTGGAGGCACCACAGGAGGATTTGTGAGGGGGTTCGCTTGGATTAAAGTGGTGGACTGCTACGGACGAGCTAACCATCTGACTTATGGACTTCATAATCAGGCTGTTGTGGGTAGGAAAGATTTCGTTGACAGATAATCGGCATAAGGCATGGTGAGAGAGGACCAATGCATTGCACCGGAAAAATTTTTGGTGAAAACTATGTAAGAAGCAAGGATCTATTTTCATAAAGTACATTGGGACAGACGTGGAGGATCGTACCAGGGCGACTATTCGTGCCAGGTATGCAGCTGCCTAGTTAGCCATGAGTCTCGGAGGACATACAGAAACACAGGCGTGGTAATCGTCGGATGAAGGCTGAAACGGCTGAAAGTGTGGACTTGCATGGTTCGTACTAGAACAGAGACATACTATGACTATGCAAACTAACGATTGAGACGACCAGACCCAAGTATGATGCTGTCCTGACAGCTTGCCTTCCTGGGCAAGAAATCTCGATTTGTGTGTCCGTGCTGTCCCGAGGGAGCGGGTCGTTGCTTTGCAAAAACAGTACTTCGTGCCATGAACCTCGCGAAGCACTGCAATTCTCGAAGAATTCAAGACTTCCCAAGCCTGAAACTCACAAAACACTGTAATGCTCAAAAAAGTCCGATAAAGGCGAGAGTTCTGGCCAGGAATACGGGAGGATTGAACACAGCCAACCCGCCCCCACCTGCACCAACACGGAGAAGGCTGGCATTGATCCCAACATGCAGAGAACCAAACCCGCCTATCGGGGTCAAAGCCAGGAAAACAGGGGTCCTTGACCTTCGAGGTTTGGAATTTGTTGAGAATGACAGTGTTTCGTGTGGTTTTAAGTTGGCAGTTTTGTTTTTTGTCGTGACAGTGTTTGGTGTATGCCGGCAGACAGCGGATCTTGCGGGATATATAACCAGCTGTATAAGAAAGAACGAAACGCCTGCGTGTACATGCATGTGTATGTATGTATGTATATATATATATATATACAGTTGTATGTACATGTATATGTAGTTGTATATGTGCCTGTACATATCGGTACTTAGTTTTATGTAGGTAAGTAGAAGATACGCACATAGATGTATATACATGCATGCATGCATGCAAGCATACCTACATACATACATATGTACACACACACACACGCGCCTGCACACATGCACACACAGACAGAGACAGAGACACACACACACACAAGGACGCGAGCCGACGCACCGATCGACATGTCCCCTAGGCACCAACCAGCATGGACGATTGCATTGACGTAAGCCCAACGTGAATGTTCCAACATAAGTTGTCCGCCACAGGCCCTGTTCTTGCCGGTGTTTTGGGCATAGCCCGTTCCGAAAACTGGCATTCACGGCTCCTCAAGTTCTTGCGGTGCTAGCAGGGTTATGACGTGCTGCCCAGTTCATCGCTCCAATGCAGGACATCGTGATCTATCACTTTTTCTATGGAGCTTGGTTGGAGGCCGAAGTTGCCATGCAGATAGAGGTGAAGGACAGGGAGACCTTCGATATCTTTTACAACACAAGCTGTGGCAGAGAGCCTCAGGCGTGTGAAGAACGACGAGAGCAAAGGATTCAGGACCACCTCGCTGCAAACAGGCGAGGAGATGTACGAAACCATACAGAGCGAGAGTGCATCTCGCTGCCGTACGAAGATCTGGATCCTGTGGTTATGTGAAAAAATGGCAGCGCGAAAGACGTATTGTCGCTTCATTACCGTGGCTGATTGTTGTGCATCAGACTCGGATGTTTCCAGATCCAAGGTTGCTTCCACACTTCTTGTGAAATCGCATAGTGCTCCCCTTAAAGCTGCGAAAGTAAGCTTCAATAAAGGGCTGACATTGAGTGCCCGCGAAGTAGATGCAAGTAACTACTTAATTCGTGGAGCATGCTTGTCACTTTTGCGATGAAACCCCAATCAGCCCCAAACGCCGCTCAAATCAGATCCAAACAAAGGATAAGGCTCAAAACAAGTCCCAAGAACCCAGGCCCAAGCAAGGACGAGGTTCAAAATGAATCCGAATTCAAGCCCGAGGCCAAAGACGAGCCCAAACATCCATTAGGAGCTTACGGATTGTAAACATGTAAGTATATACACACGTATACGCATGTGTGTATATGTTTATGTATATATGCATATATGTACACTTGTACATGTATACATGTATAGCTACATACATACGTATATATATATAAATATATATGTATATATATACATATATGTACATATGTATGTATGCTTGTATGTATGAGCCCGACGCCTGTCGGTTCTATTTACCTACTTTATTAAGTGCAGTACTGAATTCTTAGTTAAATAGTGTAGCCGTTACATATTGTGATGCTACCCTGCAACTCCTGACCTATCCCGCAGCAGTTTATATAGACCAAGAATACTACCACTAAGTATTGCTTTAGATCTCCGCTATGGGACATCCTACTAAACACAACCTACACCCTATAAACACAACTTCTTATTAGTATTGCCTATAGCCCCGCTATTTGAAACCAAGTGCAGCTCAAGTTACAAGCTATATGCGCAAAATACTCCTACGAAGTATTGCCTTATATCTTCGCTACTGGACATCCTACGAGACACAATCACGCTTGCCTTATGAGCCAGCCCAAAAAGAGCGCTCCCAAATTAAACAGCGAATACAGCGTTTAGCAGCAAATAGAGACCCCCGACGTTTAATTAAAGGGCATCAATAGCATTTAGCGGCTTTTCGCCCTCGACGACACCCTGAGTTGTGCCGTACCCCCTTGCTGAAGCCAAAAGAGAACTGAGAACCCCAAGCTGGGACCGTCGCAGGGCGCCACAATAACAGTGACAGCTCCGGTTCCGGGGTTTGGAGGGTTTAGGGTATAGACTATATAGTTCTTTCATCAGGTGGGGCTCGGGGCTTGAGCCATGGGTTTCGAATTAACCCACGTAGCCGGGTTTGGGGTCTAGGTCAGGACCCGGTACCTTTCGAGACATGCCACACCGATTCCGAAGGTGACAACCAGTCAAGTGCATGTTGTGCAGGACTTTGTGCCAAACCTGTACAACCTATACACCGTTTAAACCCAAAACAATTGCTGGTATTGCCTTTGGCCCCTCCACTAAGATTCCTCTGAAACACAAGTTACATATAAACCGAAAACAATCCAACTAAGTATTGCCTTATAGCCCCGCTGCTAAGAATCCAGTGCAGCACAAGTTGCAACCCATAAATTATAAAAGCAAAATAAATCCTACGAATTATTGCCCAGAACCTTGCGTGTATATATATATATACACACACACACACATATATATATATATACATGAGTACTTATGTGTGTATGTGTATATGTATACACTTATGTACGTATGCATGCATGCACGCATGTATGCATGTGTATGTATGTCTGTATGTATGCAAGTATGTATGTTACGGAGACCGACGGTCGGTCGCCTTAAAAACCCAGACCTAATATGGCTCCTTGTCTCCCGGGTCTTTGCTATTTAGGGGGTTTGCGATGCCGTGTATACCTAGGTTTTAAGCGGGCACGCAATCAGACCCCACCCAAGTGTCCAGTTCAGTCGACAGTCTTACTGCCTGACTGTCCGAATGTGTACTTTTCAGTTCGCGCCCCATTTGCACGCTCCCTCTGTCGATTGTTAGATCACTCAGCAAAGACAGAAAAGCTTTCAATCCAAATAAGACGCAAATCAGGCCCATGGGCGCGCATACTGTAGTCCGATCTTTCCAAAAGTACGGCGAGGGACTTGACCCTGGAGTCTTCTGTCGTAGAAGGGTCACGAATAGAACCAGCTGCTACAGTCAAACCCGACAAGTTCATGAGCAAGAACAGGTCATGTACAAGCATTGGGTCGTACGAGCTTCCATCGTCATTCGCACCTAAGTCCTGCTGCGAGCCATGGGCAACGTTCCATTCTGGTGTGCCACTCCTCGTTTGGATCTTACTGAGCTTGTTGGGGCTTGTTTGGCAGGCTTTAGTCCTTTGACAGATGAGAGTGTCGGGCCTTGCAGCGCGGATCACTCAAGTCGTCTTCCTACTGCCTCGATTCAGTGATTCCCAAAATTTGGTACTTTATCTCACGCGACCGTCGTATCTGCATCCAAAAGTGGTTCCCCCACGTGTGGAGATCGAAGACAAAGTGGAGCGTTCCTCTGCTTATTGGCGTGTTCCCATCTTCATAATTTGCCGCGATCGTTTATACTACCTGCAGATGCTGGTGTCACAGCTGCATTATTTGGGTTATTTTAACCTGATTGTGGTGGACAACAACTCGAGTTACCAGCCGCTTCTGTCTTACTATAAAGAGAGACTGCTCTGGGTTATTCATTTGGCCGCAAATCTGGGCAACGAGATCTCCAAGGTTCTTGGGCGTTTGTACTGGAACCATTCCATGCCGATGACGGAATACATCGGCCATTTCGGAAATCGGTTTGTGTTGACTGATTCAGACATACTCTTCGAATCCACTGTGCCCCGGAACTGGTTGCAGCACTTCTGGGAGATCATGGACCGCCGAGGTGCAAACACAGTGGGGGCTGCTCTGCGATTGGATGACATACCGGAGCACTATGCTGCTCGCACGCAAGTTTGGCAGCATGAGTGCGAGTTCTGGCGGGAGCGTAATCTCGTACACGGCGAGAAGCATGTGCTCCATGCCGCAATCGACACCACCATGGCACTTCGGAGACTTGAGCCGCTGAAGCAATCATCAGCACCATGCTTGCGAGTGGCCGGGGCTTACACTGCGAAGCATTTGCCTTGGTATGAGGACAGCCGCTGGCTGCTTCCGGATGTAGCTTATGCAAGGAAAAACCGAGATCGTGGCCACACCTTTGGTTGGTGGTCCATGGCTGAGGGGTTTGCGAGAAGAGGCAAATCCATAATTGATTCAGACAGTCCAACAGGCCAATTCAAACGTGCAGCCAATTACACATTGACTTTCCCTGTGGGCGCCGACTACGTAGGCTTTTGCCGACGCTTTTCAGTGGCAGCCTCAACTGTGGTCCGCCCACCGCAATGTCAACACTCCTTTCTCCCGGCCTCTGCAGACAGCAAAAGGAAAGGTAGCGACTCGTTGCCTCTTGAGACATCAGGTTTCCTGGAGGCCGTTTCAGCTCTGGTGAAGAGGAGGTCGCAGGGTAAGTACGTGGTCCTGGACGTGGGCGCCGGCAGTGGCACGGCAGCACTTTGGTTTGCACAGCTGGGTGCCAGGGTGGTGGCCTTGGAGCCTTTGGCAAGCCTGTTTGATGAGCTCTGCCGTAACATAGCGGCCAGCAGCGACATGCAGGCGCATGACTCAGGTTTACACTTCGGAAGTAGCGTGTGTGACTCCGTCGTAGCTTGCATCGTCACGGATCAGAGAAACCCAACGCACCCGTTCTTGAAGAAGTTCCTAGCACGACACAGCTGCTTGTTGTGGCAGGTTCAAGCGATACGACCCGACACGAGAGACTTTAATTAATTCGTTTTGTTTGTTTGCACCATGCTCATCCCCTGATCCACAAACGGTGCCCTCTTGTCGTTATCGCTCGTAAGCTTCAGTTGTCCTTTCATCAGTTGTGACTTTTGTTCAACATTTCACTTGTGTTTTTGGTGTTTATGTTGTCGGACGCAAGTGATTTTCACATCCTCTAGACTGGAGTGGGAGGATTTCCAGGCAGAAGGCGCGCAGACATAGCTACCAGAGTGACAAAGCTTGGTCAGCGCATGTAAGCGTTGCTGCAGTCACAGGTGATTGGTATTGGTAGATGCAAGTGATGTGCTGGCCTTTCCACATCGTTCGCAGGTTCAAGCGTTCAGGGTGGCACTGGGGCTCCAGGACGAGGCATCGGGGTATTAAGCATTGCTGCATGCTGGCGGCCATCCATCGCAGAGATTCCGGTACGCCAATGTATTATGGTCAGCGTCTGTGCCTGTTGATGTTTTAGGTCGGCTCCCAACGCCATAGGATCCAGGATCAGGCACATGTGTCACTCTGATACGCTTCCTGGTGCTTCCAGCTTGCCAGGCGTCTGCGATCTCCATGTCGTCGTTGCGCATGCTGGCCATTGAGCTGGAGGACCCCGGCACAGACATCCACGTTGAGAACTCAATCATTTAGACGGAAAGGCCCGTCTTCGTGTAAGATGGCGAGATATCCCGAATTTGTCAATATGGTCTTTGCCAACTGCTCTGCAAAGCTTGACAGATACAAGGACGATGGGACTTTACAGCATGCAAAACTCTCCTGCGTGCGGCGGTTTGAGGGGGGCAATAGTTGAAAGACGAAAACACAACAGCTTGAAGCACTCAACAGTGGCAATTATCTTGGTTCCATGAGTTAGCCTGTGTTGCAGAGTACGGACGCATCGTGTTACCTGGCTTTGGTTCCCAGGCATCGGGTGTGACCTTCCTTTGGGGCTTCGTGCTCTTGTTTCTTGCATTGTGACCTGGGGCAAGGTACTCTTTGTGCAATCGTGGGCTCGTGATCCGTGCGTGGTGCAGGGCTTAGCCCATCTGCACAATTTGGTCCTCGGCAAAACAATGAACTTGCCCTAAGCCCCCGGACGTTGCCACCTGAAGAAGAAGAAGAATAATAATAATAAGATGATGATGATGATCCCACAGGAGGCTTTACAACCAGCGAGGAATTGAAACTATGCGTTCAACGGGCAATGACGGGCCACAGGACTT